TTTATATTAATTTTTTAATTATTTTATTTTTAAAATTAATTAAATTAAATATATATTTAATATTAGCTTTAAAATTATACATTCATAATCATCCTCCCAATAATTGATCCCCCCAAAACTTATGACCTCTAATAACTATTTTATTCTCTTTTCTAAAATCACAAATTCTTAATCCTATATAAATGCTCATACTTTTTATTTTTATTTTTATTTTTCTAATATTTAATTTTAAATCACAAAAACTTAATCTTGCATTCTTCGTATTAATATTTAAGAGAATCCCAATAATTAATCATGTGTTAGTAAACTATTTACAAAGTCTCAAATAACTACTAAACATGTGCATAAATAAAAGGCATATGATATAAATAATAAAAAATCATAAAAAATGATATTAAATAATACGATTAAATAGTATTATACTATTTATTTAATAATAATATTTAATATTATTATTTAATACTATTTACTTAATATTATTTAATATTATTTATTTATTTAGATTTATTTTATATTATTTTATAATATTTATTTAATAATATTATTTATTATTATTATAAAATTATACTATAAAATAATACTATTAAATAATAGACAAATGAAATAATGTAGGCATAAATAATCGAAAAATAAAATAGAAATATTGTTGTATTTATGTTTCAAAGTTAGTAAAAGATATTTATTACTTTTACTTAAATAACTTTTATTTAAATAATTATTTATGTTTCAAAGTTAATAAAAGATATTTAAAATTTAAAATTTAGAATTAGTAAGTTTTACAATAGATTTTTAGGTTGAAATTAGGTTATCAAAATATACAAAGAGATTAATTATTATTTTAAAGTTATTTTAGAATAAAAATTTAATCTTAGAAGTATAGATTTAATATTTATGATAAAAAATTATACACTTTGTAGAATAATGTAAATAAAAGAATTTTTAATACATGTTAATAAAATGCAATATAAATTTAATTTGTGATTTTTTACAAATTGTTCGAAGATAAGATTGAAATATTTATTATTAATTGATGAATTAATAATATTCTTTGGAATTAATCAAAAAATACATATTCAAGATTCCAAACTATTTATTTGGTTTTTCATGTTAAGATCTTCAAGTATCATAGAACAATATGACAATCATAGTAATGATATTGATAGAATTTCAAATATAGAAGGCATTTGTGGAGATACTTAAGGATTTGAATTCTATGTTGGAGCATTAAGGGTTTTTTGAAAGAAAAAAAAATATGTTAATAAGAAAATAATATGCAAACTTATGCAAGAAAATTGAACATGTCACAAGGATTATTGACCATGTAATGATTTGCAACAATAATATATTGAATTTTGGACTTTTTATATGTGAATTATTTTTATACTAAATAAGTCTTATTTTTTTAATAAATAACCATTAAAACCAAGTTGGTGTGAAGAATCTATCCTCCAATTTAGTAATAAAAGAAGTTTTAGAAAATTACTTTAAAATTTGAAATATTATTGTAATATTGCAAGTGATATGCTTTCAAAGTATTATTCTAATAAATTTGAAGATATCACATTTGCTACTTGAAATACTGCAATATGTAATAAAGTAAAAGGTGATGATAAATTTTTATATGATAGATTAATTTATACAAATAGAAAAGAAGATTTTTAATATTGTGGATTATTAAATTATTGACTACCAAGGCTGAAAGACATATGTTGCTTGGGTGGAGAATTGGATGATTTAAAACTATTATCATACATAAAATGTCTTAAAATTATAAGACGCTTAATTAAAGAAGTGTTTAGAGAAGTATTTAGAGAAGTTTTTAAATCAAAGTGGTTGGGGCTTTCTGTACAACTTAAAAGATGGATATTGGATTTGATAAATTGTTTTTAAAAAGGGTGAGCTATATAAGAAGTTTAAGCCATCCTAACTTAATAACATATTATTTTTCAATAAAAGATAAATAGAAATAAAAGAATTGAATCTTCTATAATAAAAAAAATATATATTATTTAAAATTAGGAATGAAATTGATACAAAGAAATTTGAGAAATATGTTGTAAGAAGAAAAATAAGTATCTTTCATTTTACTTACTCATATTGTACATCAAATTGCAAAATGAATGTGTTAGTTATAGAACATGCACATTGTATATCATAATCAAAAGCTTGACAATATTTTGATTAATATTATAGAAACAAAAATTATGAATAAGATTGTTTGATTTACTACTATTAAAGTGATAGTCTAAGATTGAAGTTGTAAGATTAAAATTGGAGGAAATCAAAAAGCCACAAAGAGTAATTATGTTTATAATAGTCTTAAATTTATGGCTCCAAAGGTGTGAAAATCAAAACTCAAATTATCATAATATGCCCTTTTGATACTAATGCTTATTCATTTACAATAGTAGGTTTTAAAATTCTTAAAAATATATATATATTTTTTAACATTAAAATATTAAAAAAATTAAGAAAATTTTAAAAAGATATTAGATTAAATTTAACTTTGAATTGAAATAATTTAACAAAAGTTATTTGAGAGTGTTGGAAATTGAATCATTAGTATTGGCCAAAGTTTGGAAATATATGTAAAATATTGAATATGTTGAAGAAGAATTAGTATGGAAAATGTACCATATTTTTTAACATTAAAGATCATTAATCATGAAAACATAGTATTTCAGCAAGTACACAATAGATTGCTACTAGTAAGACCTATACAAAAATAAATATTAAGTGTATATTGGATTGATTAGATTTCATTGATTAGATTTTATATTTTTATATATATTTCTATGTTATAGTAATGGTTGGATACCTTTTGATGAATAATATTTGGTAAAATTAGATTAAAATGTAATATGTGCACTATTCTTAATTTTATGTTCAATTCTGATTAAATTTTTGATTGTTGGATGAATCACCAGAAGAATAAATATTTGGTGGAATCAATATTTATGACAAATAAGACAACAATTTGTAAATAAAGTGAAAACATTGAGTCTTGTTGGAACAAGTGGAATAGGCAAGACAACAATAGCAAAGGCCATACTCAATGAAATATAGTTCAATCTTTATAGATGCATAGAAACAAAGTGATTATTAGTTTAATTGGAGAATTTTATTTTTATTGGATATTAAGTTGAAAAAAACCAAAGAAATTAATATATCATTGAAGACCTTAAATATTGATATCAAGAATAATATAAAATAAATAAATAAATAAAGTGAAGAAAAGATTTTAAAGCTAATTCTACTTGGTTGACCATCGAAACATGAAAGAGAAAGATATCTTTAATTTAAAAGCAAGGATGTGTTTTAGGAGCATATAACTCTTTTAGTGTGGTTTTTAAAAATTGACTTTCTAAAAGACAAGTCATTTACAAGTTTTAGTTAGACCATTGTTTTTGTTTGAAAGTTTTCAAATTTAGACATATATTCAAATTTCTCTAAAAACAAATAGATTTGTAGACATTAAAGATTCAGCTATTTATGATATTGAAGTAATTTTGCACATGACATGGCTTTTGTAGATATTAAATTGACTTATTTCTTCCATTTTAAAACTCCTCCAATGCTAGCTTTAGAATTTTTCGTAAGTTTTTAATTTTAAAATATAAATAATTCAACTTATTACTTTTTTATTTGACTATTTTTTATGAATATTTTTATTTTTAAATTAGCCTGCCCTCTTGTATTAATTTTAGTGGTATATTTAGAATCTTTAGTAAGTCTATAATTTAAAAGAATTGAGGCTTTCAAAATTTAAAAATAATATTTTTTTTACTATCCAAAAAATAAAACAAAATCAATGCTTAAAATGTAATAAGATTGTAAAATTTTGTACTAAAAAGTTCATGTTGCACCATAGACTTGTAATTTGTAAGAGCTCAAGGATAAGGCTCATTTTAGATTTTAGTTCTCTTAAAAGTTTGATGGTTGGATATTAGAGCTTATTTGTATTTATATCAGTTATGTTTATATCTTTTTCTACTACACTCTTCAAATTTACTAAAAATATATATTTAAAAAATGTACTACATTGAGTCACAATATAAAAATTTAAATAGAATTAAATATATATATATATATATATATTTGAGAGATACTATAATTATCAAACAACACAAAATTATGAAAATACAACGTTAAACCATGCAAAATGGAAGAATTGGAATTATAGAACCTCTTAGTTCTATATGTAATAATTTAATGCATTAAGAACAACCTTAAGATATTGTGAAGATTTTTCTATGAACAAATTGATCTTTTTCAATGGCTTTCGTATTATGAATAGCTATAATTCTTTTTGATTTCTAGTATTTAAAACATGACAATCCAATTAGTTTCATTTAATAATTGTTTCAGCATTGGAGCTTATAATCACCTTGTTAGTGCTTGTTTGTTTCTATTCTAATTTATCTCATACAAAATTTAGAATATAAACAATTGATGAGATTTTTTTATTTTTTTATTTGATACATTATTTTACTTAATTTAAGATTCAATCATTGAAAATCAATTGGTAATTCTTTAATAATAGAAAAAAATAATTATAGTTCTCTCTTAACAATTAAAAACTTGTTATTCCTATATATATATATATATATATATAGTAATAAAAATAGTTATTTTATTTAACTCTTTTAAAAACTCTAAATAATTCCAATAATTTATATATCAAAGTATATATCAAAGTATATTTTGTCAACATACTGAGCCACATAATTCAGGGTTTATATGGCCATGATTTCCTTACACCTTTGTAAATTTCAATCATGTACAATTATAAAGCAATTAAAGTAGCACAATGCTTTAGTTCTTATACACATAAAACTATGCACAAAGAAGGACTTAAGATATGTTGAGATATTAAAAAGGATACTGTGTATTTGAAAAGATTTCTTGAATACATTCCTATTTAAAATATTCAAAGTTAATGCATTTTTTACATCTCAAGTTGCTAAGAATCATGTTAGAGGTGGAAAGGCAAAGGGAAATATAATGAAGAATGCAAGGTTTGAGCCTGCAAAAATTATATCAGATATCATTCCATCATAACAACTAGATCATGGATAAATACTCCAAAATCTATGAATGTGACACAAAACTAAAATAATATCATGCAATACTCTAAACTTTTCTTGCACGAACATGATCCGCAACTGAGAAGAAAAAGTGTTTCCCCTCCTCCACTTCATACTCCCCGAGGCCGTCAATTGCAACCTTCAACTGCAATGTTACGAAGAGCATCTTATCAGCACAAAGTCAAGGAGAGGCATTGATATCTGACCAATATGGGACACCTACTTTTTGACTACAACCATATTGTTCACAGGCACGAGAAATGTAAAGCATCTATATCTAAAGCAACTGTAGACCCAATGAAGATATCTTTACCTTCTTGTTCGAAGAAACTTCAGATCTAAGCTTTGCAGGATCTCTAGACCGTAATACAACTGTCAAATTTTCGGCACACGCTTTATCACCTGCACATCATATTAAAACAGTTCACATATGGCTGTCGAAGCAAATAAACGATATACTTTGAAAGGCTGTGGATTTCAACTTGAGCAAAACTGCATCAAATTAAAAACCATGAAGGTACCTGAGCAAAGATCAGAGAGAAGATCCATAGAAAATGATAATGCAGGCCTGGTCAAGGTGATTTTGAAAGAACCACCAGCCACTCCGTGGTACTCTTCTGAGGCAATAATTACCTACATAATGACAGACAATTCAGAACCCATCTCTTCCAAACTCTGAAGGTTTCACACTCACAAACTTCAAGCAAAATTTGCGACCGCTTAAATTCTTCTAGTAGATGGAAGCTTACCGCATGATGTGGAAGGTGTTGGCTTGCAACAATTGGAGAACCAACTGTTTCTGTCATGTAGCTTGCCTGTCAAAATGAAGAACTACTTCAGCATAACAGTGGACATAACTCCCATGGGGTACTAGACCTAGTTAAGCATTGCAAACATATACACTGCACTATTACAGGACTCCTGTAGAAATGAAGGCACGGAAAGCTGTCTTAAGAACTGTTCAAGCAGGGAATTTGAAATAAGCATCTATACGAAAAATACACCCCCATATTTCAAGGGCAAGCACATGCCTGTGATTGAAAAATTCGTTTCAGAACCGAAGGATCGCTGCCCGTAACGTTCTCGTGGACATCATAAAAAATCTCCACGGTGTCAGTGGGCTCTAGGCCTGCTTTCTTTCGCAGTTTCTGAACTCTATTCACAACCTGCATACATAAGTGTAGATATTGATCAATAAGGATGTCATCTGCTTGTTCATGTAAGAAAAGCCATGAAAAAATTTATTAAATTTTACAAGCAACTGTTGATAAGGAAAGATGACTTACTTCCCGAGCGAAACCTGCCTCAAGGAGACTGCCATCCGGTCTCAAATCAAGCACCACCAGCACTTCTCCTGGTAATGTCCAAGTAAAATCACGGTTAGTGCTAAATATGTCATACTGTTTCGTATGGCAGTGTCAACTGTAACCAAACACCAAGCACATGTGTTCAAAAGAATTTTGACTTGCACATATTCAGATACTGATTCCTACATATTCCAAAAGAGTAACATTTGACTTGAGTCCTACCATCTCCAGCTGCATCAATATCCGCTTTATCAACACCATCAGGCGGTTTGAAGTCATTGATAACCTGTCAAAAACATCAGGCCACATGTCAATTTTAATACGAGCAAATGGTCGTGGATTCAAAGCCCAGAGAGAATGGAACATATCCACATGAAATTTTTATAAAAAGCTTATGGAGACCGTCGATTTTCACCTTTATGTCTTGAAACCCAAGCTTGTGACCGGCAAAAGTGCCTTCTCCAGCCTTTTGGAATTCTAGAATCTGAGCTTGAGTCATTGCCTTAACTTCCTTGGCAACTAATCCCATAGCCTTTCCAAGCTTCTTTCCAAGTCCACTGCACGTGTGCATCAGTTACATTCATTAGGCGGAAGAGAACTATAATGTATGAGCCAAGCACAGTCCAGCAACTACATTGAGATTCACCAAGTAGTATCTACTCGCCCATGAATGCAAGCAAAGGTTGCTGCAACATACCTGTAATCAGGCTCTGCTCGCAGAGATGCGAACTTGAGAAGATCATTACAAGCCACGATGTTCCGCACATTAAGCTCCTCTCGTACATACTGTTAATCAATCAATCAACCATATTAACTATACAACTGATATGATCAAGCATCACTCTGCTGAAACGAATTTTCTAAGTACAGCACTACTAGCAATTTGTTAGGAGATAATACAATTACTGGAAAAAAAAACTTCCTCCACCAGCTTATAGATGATGAAGGTACCTCGCCAAGGGAGCCCGTAATATCGTCAAGGAAGTTGGTATCAGAGTGAACGACCACCATCTCCCTGTACAAGCAGTGTTGACTCTCAGGTTTGGGATTCATAAGAAGTTGAGGGGAAAATAAAAATAAAAAATATATTCAAAATCCATTGGCTCAATCGAGTCGTGAGTCAACTTACTTGAGTGGAGTTTTGAGGGGCTTGTTGTGGCGTTCCCTAATATTGCGAGCAAGATCAATGACCGACATCATTCTTGTGACGCTCTGTTCGATCCGTTTATCCATCTGTTTCCAGAAACAGACAAACATGTAGTCAGTCTGCACCCATGTATTCACTACTTCAGACCGGGCGCCCCTGAGTAAAATTAGTTAAAATAGAGAAGAGAAAAGTTCAAACAACAGAAAAAAATTTATGGATGGTCGTCCAGAAGTAATAAACATACTCCCACAAAACCAAGATAGCTTTAGTAAATTCTTCAAAATGACTACAGCCCACGGATCACAAAAGTACTCATTTTGTTCAACTGACCTCACTCTCCACCTCCGGAAAGGCGCAGTAGTGTACACTCTCTTCTGCCTCGGGTAATGCAAGGCGTAGGTTTTGGTACATTCCCTCTGTGAAGAAGGGGGTGAACGGTGCCATAGCCTTGACGGTTGTCAATAGTACCTGTTTCAAGCAATGCTCAGTCCCGTAAGACTATCTACACTACTCCTTCTGAGCACAGAGTGATTCATCGGGCAAGCAACTGAATCAACGCAACTACTGGTTGCAAAGTTTAAAAAGTACAATTATTGCAATGAAAAAGAGCGTGAAACAGAAGTAGCAAACAAAGAGGAGAAGAGAGCGCAATCTACTTACGAAATACAATGTAGACAATGCAACACGACTGTCACCATCCCCAGTGCGACCTTTCAATCGCTTGCGGTTAAATCGAACGTATACGTTGGTCAAATTGTCAATAAATTTGAGCAGAACTGGTACAACCTGCAGGACACGCCAAATGAATCAATGCTAGCGAGGTTGACTCTCAATGGGTGACTATCAATTATCTCACGCACAATCGAAGTTAAAATTGGGAGATTTATGATACTGACCGTGTACAAACGGTAGGCTTCCATCTCTTGACGAACAAAGGTCACAAGGCTCTGACTGGCTGAGTTGATCCATCTATCCAATACATTGGGAGACTGCCGCAAGACAGCCCGATCAAGAGGTTTAAAGGGCTCTAGTCCTTCTGCATCTAACCTCTTCACATTTTGCACAAGAAACCTGTACGCATTATACCACGGTAGGAAAACATCTTTCACCTGCAACACAAGATCCCTCCCGGATTAGCGTCTGAAGAATGAGCAAAAATATTTGTCAAAGACCAAATTTCAATGGAAATGATCGATCAGACAGTATCAACCAATATGACAATGATTTGAAGCGTCCCTTGCGTGACAAGCAAAGCAGGCAAACGTTGTGATCCGTGAGGGATCCGGGATCTACATGGCAAGATTCGAAATCCATTGTGCTTAAGAAGAAAGAATATCAACACGCAGATCAAATTACATACCACAGAGTAAACACCTTCCCTTTTAAACCTGAGCGGCTCTCCCTTTACAACAGGAGAATTTATGAGATACAATCTCAATGCATCCTGCACTCAAAATGGGTAGCAGCCAACAATCAGACGAATGGACTCGAAACGAGTCAGTAGAAATGAAGCATACCTCCACGAATATATATGATTCAGAGGTATAGACTGACGAGGTATAAAGAGAAAATCCACTCACAGCGCCATATTCGTTGATGATGTCAGTTGGGGGTGGGTAATTATTGAGCCGCTTACTCATCTTTTTGCCATCTTCGGCCAATACTAAACCATTGCAAATCAGATTCTGAAATGCAGGTCTGTCAAACAAAGCTGTTGATAGTACCATCAATGTGTAGAACCTGCACATGCTCCAAGATAAGAAACCCCAACAGAGCTGAACTAACCAGAAAAGACAAATTTTGGTTTGTCGCACAATAGCATTAACCTTCCACTCCAACACTAATTGTAAGCAATAATTCACACAATGCAATCAGTAATGAATGCTTACAACAACTATCACCAGAATCATCCTAACAAGATAATGCACAGTTGCTGTAGACAAGCCAGACAGCAAACGTTGAAGATGGATAAATGCACAAAATGCAAACAGATACAACAAAAATAGGTAGCGTTAAAAATACGACTACACAGAGTTCATGTTTTAACATAGTGATAAAAAGACATCGCTCATACCATCCACGAGTCTGATCAAGTCCTTCAGCAACAAAATGACCAGGAAAGTTTCTCTCAAACAGTTCTTGATTCTCGAAAGGGTAGTGAATGTAAGCATATGGCATGGATCCGCTCTCAAACCAGCAGTCAAAAACCTGTGCAATATCGGTGTTATTCTAACCAAATTCAGTATGTGCAGCATAGGGGTGGTCTCAGAACATACTAGACCTAGCTAACCATAATTATAAACAGCTCCAACTTACTAAAACAAGTTACATTCTCTTCAAGACAACATTTCGCAATGTGATCAGTTAATCATTTTAAACAATTAGAATACATCGACACAGGGCCTAGTGAATGCTTGCGATGCAAGGATTGGGTGAGAACTAAACCAACATGAAATACTTCATTTCCAACTTCAATCAAGCTAGGTTGAATCGTGAATATAGCAGATATCAAAAACTTACATCCTCAACACGCTTCAAGACTCCATACTCGGGCCCTCGCGGTGAGGGGATTGTAACGTGGTCAATGTGATGACGATGCAAATCTGTAGCCTGCATCACAGAAGAAAATAATTAGTGTCGAGTAGATAACTACTTCAACTTCTACTTGACAAATGTGGATTCAAAGACAAAAAATGTATACTCAAAATACCTTGAAGCCTGAAAGCTCTTCAAGCTCTTGGATTGAGCCAATAACTACAGTATCGACTCCATCATCACTGCGCCAAATGGGCAGAGGGGTACCCCAGAACCGAGTGCGACTGACAGCCCAGTCACGGGCATTCTCAAGCCAGTTGTGAAATCTCTTCTCCTGGAAAATTGTACAGCATCCACAATGCAAACCTCAAAATTCGTTCTACGTGCAAAAACTAAGGAAGCAGACTTATGAAAGACGAATGCTTAGGCTGAGCGTGATGCAGAGAATATCCAAACTGCCAAAGCAGACCTATAATACCATGAACAAAAATACTAATCATGCAATAAAAGAGTATCATATAGAGGAATAACTACAATGAAATTCCAATAGCTAAAAATTTGAGAAATACGCACGTACCTTCACAGAATCTGGAACCCAATACGTATGTTTGTTGTTTTCAATAAGCCGGTCCTTAAATTGTTCCACAGCTACATACCTGTACCACAACGAAAATGAGACATACTCGAAACGACCTAGGAATTAAAAAGACCAACAAATGTAACTGTTGAAAAGTCAAACATTTAAGTTGGAAAACATACAACAAACCTCTTCAGAGAATATTTTAATAACAACTCAGGAAATTAATAAGTCATTGACTTATACCCATCTAAGACAACCTAAGAAATAAGATCCAATGTGAAGAGTCTCTCTGCAAAAAAAATTGTGTCAGGAGTCACAACCCTCTCGGTTGAGTTGGGAAGCAAAGTATACCAGCTGGGAACCACTTTATAAATAAGTGGGGTTTCTGATCTCCAGCAGTACGGGTAGGAATGCATGATACTACCGACACTCAACAACCTGCCATTGGCCTGCATTTCAACATTCAACATTTCGACCGCATGTAAATTAGATCATATCCAGAATACAAAGAGCATCACCCATTGATGATTCCACAATTTTTAACTTGACGATTGCATTTGTACTATCGAAGACAGGGGGTGTGTGAATAGACCGAGATGATGATCTGCAAATAAGCTTCGCGACCATCTTTTTCATGCTGAATACCAATCATAAAATACAAAAGAAATTACAATACAAACCTTAAGAGCAGCAATGATTTCCTTGTCTGCATCTTTAACAAATCGGCCTTGAAATTCGGGTACTTCCGCGGTAAATTTACCATCGCCATCGACTGGATTGGGAAGATTAGGGCCCTGTTGATGAAGACACGTCAGCATAAAAATGATTCTAACGCATTACCAGATGAAAATAGCAACAAAGCTAGAACAAGAGCATTAAAATGGAATGTGAGCATGACGTAACAGTACGGATCAAAATACAGTGCGAGTAATCAATATAAGAATTCATTCTATTATGCTCAGACTAACCCCCAAACATCCATTAGGCGACAATCAGGGGCTGATGTAAACAACACAGAAAGAAGCACTAAGGTTAGGGCAAGAGGCACCCTTGTTCATGCTTCGACCTGCTAAACTCAACTGCAAAATAGCTGATCAACATTTTGTCGCACCGATTCGAGCTAAGCAAGCAGGAACAAGAAGAAGCGGAGTACAATACTAACCTTCTGGATGACCCCATTCGCCAAGCAAACACGATAATCGTCCTCTCCAAATGCGGGAGCACAATGTACTACTCCAGTTCCACTATCATCACTGACGTAATTATCTGCCACCACCTTGAAGGCAGTGTCTGAGAAGGCCAAGAAATAATCAAATAAGGGTTTATACCTGCATCGTGGTCCAGCACAGTATTAAACTCCTTTCATCCAAGAGACTGCTGAAAACGATGATGGTGCATAATAAAAAGTATATTGTTGAGACATCATGAATAAAATGCAAGGATGCTGTTAAGAAACCTGACGTGTATGGAAAATTACGTACTTCTTCCCTACTAAAGCAATACCCTTGCACTGGTCAAGGACCTCATATGTGCTAGAATCAACAGGTGCAGTTGTCTGTTCTGCTACATGACCCGCTCCTTTCTTATCTCCTTTCTTGTCTCCTTTCTTTGCAGCACCATTGTCCGTCGGAGCATCCTTAGCCGGGTCAGCCTTAACCTTTGCAGCTGAGGATCCCTTTGTCTTTGTGCTTGGGAGCTGAGATAACCTTGATTCTGCTACTATGTAAACGGCACCTGTCGTTTTGTTTCGCACCTGCAATGCAGTTCGAGGCAACTTTCAAGCCCAAATTTCCAGTTTCCTAATTTCTGTAAACGATGGATAATAGAGCCTTTTCGACAAGAAAATTTTAAAACCGACAAGGAAACCAACATGCGTGAAGGCGATACAAGGCCTGGGAAGAGATGACAGACCTTAGAGTAAGTGAGGTTGGCATTCACACACAAAACCAAGTTACTAGGAAGTGTCCAGGGAGTAGTAGTCCAGGCTACCATCGAAGCTTTGTCTGCATCGTCCACCAATGGAAACGCAACCATGACTGCAGGATCTGACACATCCTGCAGTGCAAAAATTTCTCTGTCGTTAAGTATTTGTGCCTGACCTTGTAATCCAAAACACAGCCAAACCCAGCATTGTTGTGCTACAATGCTTCCAAACGCTGGGAAAACTCAGAAGTCTCTGTACTGTAATTCCATGTCACAGTGAACTTAAAATAATAATTCTGAATCACTCAATCGAAGTCTGACCATAAGCCCATGCAGCCAAGAAACACACTAACCGTCACTCCACAATTCAGCAATTACTGCATTCCATTCTACTGTAGCATTTACTATCCACTAGTGATAAAACAGTGAGAGATTTGCATTGCAAAATAAAGGAAGATTGCACGTACGAACCTTGTAATTAAGACCAGCTTCAAAATTGGACAGCACCGTTGTACATCCAGTACTATAAGGCATAACCTGTGACACGAAATTAGATGGTCAACCCCCCTGACCACATTGTTACCTACAACTGGATGTTTTAAGGAAATAATTGGTCACTTTACGATAGCTATTATTAAATGCAGAGAATCAGACGGCGACCTCATGCGCCCCATAGGCCGATAAAAAAACCGTTTTTGAACAATGCATGCAAGAGACAGACGCACCCTTAAACCCTAAACCAGGAATTGCATGCCTACACCCCAATCACCCACCTTGAGACCCTGATACACGTATCCCTTCTCATACAGCTGCTTGAATACCCACCACACGGACTCCATGAACTCAGGGTTCATCGTCTTATAGTCATTTTGAAAGTCGATCCAGCGGCCCATCCGTGTGACGGTCTTCTCCCATTCCTGACTATACCGCATCACAATGCTGCGGCACTCCTCGTTGTAATTCCCAATACCCAGTTCGAGCACGTCGCTTTTGCCCTTGATCCCCAGCTTCTTGTCGATCTCGTACTCCACAGGCAAACCATGGCAATCCCAGCCGAATCGGCGAGTAACGTGATGGCCTGTGGCGGTCTGGTAGCGCGTGACGATGTCTTTGATAGTACCTGCGAGGATGTGGCCGTAGTGCGGCAACCCTGTCGCGAACGGCGGCCCATCGTAGAAAATGTACTCGGGCTTGCCCTCAGTCCGCTTGAGCTGCGTCTCGAACGCATTCAATTCCTCCCACAGACGCAGCGTCTTCTCCTCCTGATTAGGGAAGGAGTACTCCTTGCCCTCGCAGATATCCTCCATGGCTGCTCTGCAATGCAACCCAAGGAACAAACCCGAAGTGCGCCGCCAAACCCAAACCGAGAGCCCTTCCTTGGAACAGAGCGATGAGGTTTAAAGGAAGACAGACGAAGTCCTCTTCAAGGTCGTCAGCTTCGTCTCGCACGCTCTCCTCCCCCACGCTTCATCCACCTTCGAACGAACAAATGCTTGCTCCCCACTCTTCGACCACCTTCAAACGAACGATGCTTGCTCCCCACTCTTCATCCACCTTCCGACGGACGATTCTTCCTCGACGAACGAACGAACGTGCGTGCGTGCTCGGTCCAACTGTAGTTTTCGTCCGTAACAGTTTAGTCGGTATGTCGCATATTGTTCCGTAGTTGGTCTGTATACCGTGTGAGGGCAGAACCCAGGCTTTATTCAATCTTCGTGACAGGGTCAGCTGTTGAGCGTGTTTGAAAGGACCAACGACGTTGTGGTGAATGAATGTTTCTCATTGTTGGAGTTTGATTCAGGATTTGTGGGCACCCTTCGTTTTGTCCAACAACGCAAGTTTTAACTAATTGATTAATAATCAAAATTTCAAACCAATAAAATAAGGGGAATGTTAATTAGACCCACCCTATCTTAACCATCATTAAAAAAATGATGATTCCCAACCTTTGTTTGTTCCTAGCATTTACTCCTTCCATTTCCTATTCCCTCCATAGGCAATTTAAGAGAGGAGCAAACCAAAGGAGATGCAAGGAGATGCAATGAGAGAAACTTGTGTAATATTTGAAAGTTGATTGAGAGTTTACAATAATTGATGGGTATGATGACCATGCAACTAAGTTAGGATTCCTATCAAGGTTGGAACTTTGATATTGTGCAATTTTGGTGCTTTCTTGGAATATTGAATGTTGAAAAGAAATGCAACATAGTTGCAAAGATCTGGTGGAAAGGATAATAAATAGGAAGGAATTCTTACTATTTTTTATGAGGTACAAATGCTTTTAAGTTTGTAATTTGTATGGGAATGGTAAAATTTGGATTTGCATGATACAAGGCTTATGTGGTGGAAATTATATATCTAAGGTAGCTTGAGCCTAGTAAATTAGTGCTACCAATTCTTCTTCTATAATGCAAATCCTAAAACATGTGTTAGGAAGAAAAAGTTCATTAAAAAAGTGGGATTGTTGTGGAGAGGAATAAGTCTAATGCAATGGCAATTGGGGTGGTGTCATGGACATAATCATGTAAGCTAGTAATTATATATACCAATAGGTAGAAGTAAGTAAAAGTAGATAAAAATAAGTTAATTCTATAGTATTTAATATGGAAGCTTCTAAGAAGCTTCATAGACGCTGCTTTGACTTCATAAGTGTCTTTAATTGATTTTTTGGATTAAAAACGTGGTCAACAAGTTGGCCATGTGCCACACATGTTGTTACCTTGAAGATCAAGCTAACTATGTGGCCCACACGTAGAAAAACTTGCCTTGTAAGTCAATGCATGTGTTCTACAAAGTCAACACATATTGGAGGTCCTATAGAACATCATCACGTAACCCCTAGTTAGATAGTATAAAAAGAGACAAGAGTGAAGGCTTCTTCACTCTTGTCAAGTCCTTTCTTGCTTCTAGTCTAGTTTCAAGGGTCTCTAGTTTTCTTGTCTTTTAGCAATAGCCATTCCAATTTCTCTTTCAATATAAATACTTATTTATATATATTTTGTTACCTCTCTTTGAGTGAAGGCTCACTTGTCTGAATTGTTTTTTCATCAAGTTCTTGTCCTTGACAGATTCACAAGAGTACACCTATAATATCAGAGCTTTGTCTAATCTTCATTAAGAGTGGATTACCCCTTTTTCTTGATAAGACATAAGCATATTAGAAGTTACGGATTACCCTCTTCTAAACTGATATTGCGCTTAATATTTTCTTTGTTCTTAAGTCCTCTCTTCTATTTATCTTGAGCGATATTAGACATCTTCTCTCTTCTAAGTGTTATCATGACAGAACTTCTTGAAATGAAGAGTGCAATGGCACAAATGCAAGAGTAATTGAGGGAGTTAATGCTTACAATGCATCAACTCAATTTACCACACCACAAAGAGCAACAAGATTGGTAGGAAGTGAAGATATAGAAATGATTGGAGTTGCTTCAACATCTGTACCAAACCATGTCCTTTCTCCTATGGTGGAACGCCCTTCAAATGTTAGAGAACCAAGAATTGTCCTACCCGAGAAGTTTGATGGTACCAGATCCAAGTTTCGAGGATTTATCAATCAAGTGCAACTTGTGATTGAACTTCAACCCCAAAGCTATCCAACTCTAGGATCACAAGTTCGATTCATTGATATGCTTCTTTTAGATTCAGCATTATCGTGGTTTTCATCTTTTCTTGAACGACGAGATCCAATATTAGATAATCTAGAGGCTTTTTTCGTGAAGTTTCGATCCATATATAGAGAACATGATGCAATTCGTGTTGCAACCAATAAGATCCATATTTTACGACAAGACAATCGATCAGTAACGTTATATGCTTCACAATTTTAACAACTTGCAACTGATATCAAGTGGGATGATGCTGCACTTATTAGCCAATTTTTCTATGGATTACAATATGAGGTAAAAAAATTAATGATCAACTTACCTGATCCTCAAACATTGAGTCAAGCAATTGACTTTGCTGTGAAGTGTGACAATCGTCTTTTTGAAGTCGGATCTGAGAACCGTATAAGTGGACCTCAACGTTACTATAATTCAATGGCAACACCAACACCGCTTCAACACATACATTCGGAAGTAGAGGATATGCAAATTGATGTAGTACGTTTCAAACCTCTTACTGAGTAAGAAAAGACTCTTCGTCGTCAAGAAGGATTATGTTTATATTGTGGAGAACCAAAGCACACTGTTCAACATTGTCCAAAGAAACGACGCAATCACAAAATGAGGAGTATGGCTGTGAAAGAAGACAATATGTCAGAAAACGAATTTGTCCAGCTATAATAGAGACCGTGCGGTTGGAACCTTGCACAACATCTAATAAAGGTCCTAATCTATCCTCAAAGCCCTCTACTTGTTTTACATTAAATGTTATTTTAGGACCTAAACATTACAAAGTCTCTGCCTTGTTAGATTCAGGAGCCTCAGCGTGTTTTTAGATGAAGAATTTACTAAAAGATATAGCATATCTTTAGTAAAGAAAACTAAACCTGTTCATGTAGAAGTCATAGATGGTCGTCCATTGTCTTCTGGAGATAATACTCACGAAATCCTTCCTATAGAAGTAATAATCAATAGTCATAATAGTTTTGTAGTATTTAATATCATTAGATCTCACTCTAATCCAATCATTTTAGATTTATCGTGGTTAGAAAAATACAACCCTCAAATAGATTAGATTTCCCAAACTCTTACTTTCTCTAAAAGTATAACTAATAGTGTAGTTAATCAAGTAGAGAGTCATAAGTCCAGTTCAATTAAACCTGTATTTATAGGTGCAAAAGCTTTCTTGCATGCTGCTATAAAAGAATCACCATATATTATTTATGCCACACGCGTTTCTACTGGTGAAAAGACTTCAAGTGGCATTCTAAGCCAATATCAAGAATTTCAAGATGTATTTGAAAAAAAGAATGCGGATACACTCCCGGAACATCGTCCCTATGATTGCTCAATTGACCTTCAAGAAGGAACACAACCGCCATTCGGACCAATCTACAGTTTATCACAAAATGAGTTAGCTGAACTCAAGGAGTATATTGAAGAAAATCTAGCCAAGAATTTCATACGCCATTCTAAATCTCCGGCAGGAGCTCCAATTCTATTTGTGAAGAAAAAAGATGGATCATTGTGGATGTGTGTTGATTATCGAGGATTCAATAAGATTACCATCAAGAACAGGTATCCACTACCTTTAAGATCTGGACTTCTTGATCAGCTGAATCAAGCTAAGATCTATACAAAAATAGATCTTCGGGGAACACATAATCTAGTATGCATCAAAGAAGGAGATGAATGGAAGATTGTGTTTTGAACTAGGTATGGACATTTTGAATACAACGTCATGCCTTTGGACTTACAAATGCACCAGCAGCTTTTCAACATCTAATGAATGATGTTTTTCGAGAGTTTTTGGACGATTTTGTAGTCTGTTATCTAGACGACATCTTGATCTATTCTAAGAATCTAGAGAAACATGAACTTCATGTTTGTCATGTGTTACAAAAATTAAGAGATGCAGGACTCTATGCCAAGATAGGAAAGTATGTATTCCACACTACTCAAGTCGATTTCTTAGGTTACATCATTTTAAATGATGGACTTATGATAGATCCTAAGAAAGTTCAAACTATTAAAGATTGGAAGATCCCAAAAATGGTAAGAGATGTCCAATGTTGTTTGAGATTTGTCAACTACTATCGGATCTTCATGAAAGACTTCTCTCGAGTTGCAGCTTCACTTACACATTTGACTTGTATAGACAAACTCCAATGGAATCAAGAAGCGGAAGTTGCTTTTGAATCTTTGAAGAAAGCGTTTGTTTCTGCACTAATCTTGTATCGTGTTGATTTTTTCAAAGCATTCTTTATGGAAACAGATGCATCACACTTTGCTCTAGGTGCGATTTTATCACAAATGAGAACAGATGACAAACTTCATCCAGTAGCCTTTCATTCAAGAAAATTCTAAGCAGCAGAAATCAATTATGAGATCCACGACAAAGAACTTCTTGCAATTGTGGATTCTTTTCAAGAATGGCGTCATTATCTAGAAGGCGCTTCCACTCCAGTCATCATATATACGGATCACAAGAACCTCGAATATTTTATGTCAACACGCGTATTAAATCGTCGCCAAGCTCGTTGGAGCATGTCTTTATCAAGATTCGAGTTCATCATCACTTATCGACTAAGAAAATAACAAGGTTTGTCCGATGTCTTGTCTAGACGTTCTTATCTTGTATCAAAAGAAAGAGATGTAGCTTTTGTGCAACAAAGAATGGTTCTCTTGAAGCCGGAGCAATTTCATCTTCGAGCAATAAAATCAACATTGACTGTTGATTCAACTTTTCTTAAGCAAGTCCAGTTAAGTATGTGTTTAGACCCTCTTATTCATGATATCAAGAATAATTCTTCTAAGTCTCATGATCCCTCTAAATTTGAATTCAAGA